TTCTGCTACTTTGATGAACCTTCCCTCTGTGAAGCCCGAAGTCAGCTAAATGGCTAATGATAGCTATCAAAACGCCTGCCATTTGAAATAAATAAATAAATATTTTTGTACCTCTTTAAGCACCTACTACTGTGATTGAACCTACCAATGGAGCACTTCAGACATTGGATGGTCTAGCAGTTGATTGGATAGTGGGGAATCTCTACTGGTCCACTGGGGGAAATCGACAAATTTGGGTCTCTCGTCTAGACGGTGCTTGGCCACGTCTTCTTCTCACTCTGGAAGATTTCGATGCTGGCGCTGGTAGTTCAGCCAGCGGAGGTGGTGATAAGGAATCGGCAGATGTCTTGGGGGATCCTTACAGCGATGAGACTCATAAACGGCGACCCACTGCTTTGGCTATTGATCCGATCAATCGTTACCTCTTCTTCAATGTTTGGTCCGGAACGAGAGGGCGAATTGAACGTACTTGGCTTGATGGAACACACAGGTACAGCTCTTTAACTTTTCACTTTATTTTTTAACGTTTATACTCTGTTTTATTTCCTTATCTTTCATGGTGTTCTCATAATAATAAATTAGACAATTTCGATTGAATTCAATTCCCCTATTACCATCCTGCATATAGTTGCTTCATTTTATTAATGTAAGTAGGTAATTTGGGGATTTGAAGGTTAATCCATAATGTGTTTAGAAAAATGTATTAACTTACTATCAATTGATTTACTCCATATATTTACGGATTTTTCATTCGTAGATGATCTCTTCAAGAGTTCATGGGTAGAAATCAGGGTTAAGTTTTTTTTCTTTTTCAGTTATTTTATTTTCTCTGCAAACAGGGTTTGGAAGTTCGATGAAAACGTTTCCTTAATAGAGTTGCTTATTACTCCGTCTTGTGACTAAGTGATTTTGTGGATCTTAAATATGTTGCTTATTACCTTACCCAATGAATTATTCATTTTGGTGTCTTGTTAAATTTGTCAATGAAATCATGCCAAATCTTTCATTTGCCGCTTAGTTGTAAAATATAGAGTAAATGTCCACTGGCATAACGATCACATATGACTATAGTCAGGATTTTCTGCTGTTTTAAGCATAAAAGTGACTTCAGTACCTATGTAGACGGCTGTATTTTGATTATTTACAATACTAAATGCCCCGGTTAACTTGAAACGCTTAGATTGCATTGTTTTCGCTATCATTGGAAGGAAAAATGATTTTATTATTGGCGAGACTGAATCCTCTTGATTAAAAGCCGGTCAATAGGAATTGAACTTTGCAGCCGAGTATTTGCCACAGTCTAGGAGACGAAAAGTGTAAATTGATTTTTGGAGCGTGAAACGCTCAAGTTTAAACACCTTAACTTCATACCACCTTTCCTAAGCCACATCAAATAACCAATGCAACCGCATTTTGATCCAATTTTTAGGGAAGTCATTGTTGACCATAATCACACTGTGTGGCCCAACGGGATAGCCCTAGACTTCGAATCTCGTCATCTCTACTATGTGGACGCCTACTTGGGAGTTATAAGCCGAGTTGACTACAGTGGAGCTAATCCTAAACAAATTGTTTCAGGTCATCTTCAACATCCATTTGGATTTGATCTCCTCGGTAAAAATTTTATGCCCTTTCTCTTTGGTGTTAATTTGGACGCCTTTTAAACAATGTGCTATTTCATTTAGGTGACAATCTCTATTGGAGTGACTGGCAAACCTTATCGATTTCTCAGGTAAACAAACGGACTGGAGAGGATTTACGAGTTCTCAAGACTATTAGTGTTGATGAAGCCCTTATGGGTATTCGGGCTGTCGATCTCTCAGCTAAAAATACATGTACGTATGTGCTGTAAATATTTTCCTCATAATCCATGTGAAAATTGTCTAAGTTTCCTCTCGAGCTCAATTTCGCTTATCGTTTTACTGTTTATCCTATCAGCCAACTCTAATTTTAAACTTTTGCATCAACGTTGTGCTGATAAGTTATACAGCATGAGCCAGCAGTGTAGGTTTCTAACTTCTAATGAGCCCAATCGTCTAAAAGTTAGGAAGAATACGGATAATGCAAGTAGTCTTATCAAGAGCTCGTATGTGTAGGCAATTGAGTAAGGAAAGCGGAGAGCATCGGAGTGAGGTTACAGGATTTCTAATGTCATTTTGTATTTTTCCTTTTTAGATAAAGGAAATATTTGTGGTGACAAGTCGAGGAGTGGGTGCTCCCATCTCTGCTTCATGCTGCCATCTCAGCAGGGGACTGGGCGTTCTTCTAACCTGGCCAATAAACATGATGAGGCAGACGATCTCTACTACTGCGCCTGTCCTCCTGAATACGCACTTGATTCTGATGGGAAGACTTGCATTGTACCCGACTCCATGCTTCTCTACTCGCTCGATGGTACGGGAATTAGGCGCATGAGTCTACCCAAATCTCGTCAAAAACAGTCTCATCGTCCACCGCCTGTTCATCATCCAGGAAACAACAGGTCAGTTTAAGGTGCATGTCCATACATTATATTCAATGAATCTTTAACCCATGGTTTGTAATTTAGACGTCCTTCTGGAACAGCAGGTGGTAAAGGTTATGGTCTGACTAACAATGATGTAGAATTGGCTGCGGCAGAAACATCTGCAATGGCGTCGAATCAGATATTCAATCAGGTCCCTCTTCCCTTCATGCATCGAGTCATTCGCTTTGACGTGCACATATCGGAAGAGCGAATCTATTGGGTGGAGGACTCTGCACCGCAGGTAAGAGCCAAACGAGGAATCTTAAAACACCATGAACTATTTTTGTAAATGGTCTTTATAAATATACTCCCTTCTATGTATTCCATCTCGGCGTCAAACTCATTTAGAACTAGCCTACTTATGAAAATTCGCTATATTATTAAGAAAACCAATTCTTTATGAATCAATAGCAAGTTAAATTCTCTCCTTAAATTAGCTAAATTTTATAGGGCTATGTGGTCGAATCTATCCTATCGAGTGTAGAGATTATTTATATCAAGTGGCGGGCGTTTTGGTAGTTATCATTAGCCTTTTGGTTGACTTCAGGCTTCACAGAGGGGAAGGAACATCAAAATGAAAAAAGTCGAGAGGGGGGAGGAATGGAAGAACGTTTCAAAGACGTAAAAGAGACAAACACAAAGGTAGGAAAAAGGTGAGGTGAGTACTGTGAAAGTAGTCAAATATGGCATATGAAAAAAGGTGAGATGAGTACTATGGAAGTAGTCGAATATGACGTAGAGTGAGGTGATGGTAGTTTGAAGTGAGAAGTCAACTGCCTTAGTCGAATATGACATACAGTGGGGTCAGAGTCAACTGAAGGTAGAAAAAAGGCGAGGTGAGTACTGTGGAAGTGGTGAAATATGACATACAGTGGGGTGATGGTAGTTTGAAGTCAGAGGTATATGACATACAGTGGGGTGATGGTAGTTTGAAGTGAGAAATAGGTAGAAAAAAGGTGAGGTTAGTACTGTGGAAGAAGTCGACAGTAGAGCAAAGGTGAGGTGAGTACTGTGGAAGGGGTCGAATTTGACATACAGTGGGGTGATGGTAGTTTGAAGTGAGAAGTCGAAGAGAAAAGGTAAGATGAGTACTGTTGAAGTGGTCGAATTTACGAATATGGCATAGAGTGGGATGATGGTAGTTTGAAGTCAAGTAGTCGAATTTGACATACAGTGGGGTGATTGTAGTTTGAAGTCATGTCAAATGCCGGTTAATAGACTTTTTTGCCGTATGAGAATGTAGGACATATAGGGGGGTCATGGTAGTTTGAAGTGAGAAGAAAACTGCCGGTTAATAGACTTTTTTGCCGTATGCGGAGAAGTCAACTACCAGTTAATAGACTTTGCCGTTGAAGTCAGAAGTCAACTGCCGGTTAATAGAATTTTTTTGCCGATAGTGAGAAGTCAACTGCCGGTTTATAGACTTTTTTGCCGCTTTGAAGTCAGAAGTCAACTGCCGAATAATAGACTTTTTTAAGAAGTCAACTGCCAGTTAATAGACTTTTTTTGCCGTATGGCCGTATGAGTATACGTTGCCCAGGGTGCACCACGTGGAGGTAAGTCTATTGCACACCCCTAGATTGTAGAGATAAGTAACTTCACTCATTCTCCTGGAGAATAACTCCGAGGTGGTCGAAAAGTCTTTGTATTGTCTATGGAAAATTTTTTCTTCACACTATGATTAACATACACATTTTTATGTCGAAATTGAAGTGCATTTATCGTTCTGAGGAGATAACCAATAAATGACGTTTACAACTAGTCAATTATCGAATTCAATTCTTGGTTCAAACGTTACGAATTACGAAGAGTTTAATGGTTAACAAAAACACAAAAGATTAGCTCTGCACAATTCATTTTGATCTAAAAAAGTATTCGATTTCAATTATAAATGTCCTACGAATATACTAAGATCTTTCTTAAATCAATTTTCTTAAATATTTATTTATTTATATCAAATGGCAGGTTTTATGATAGTTACCATTACCCCTTTAGTTGACTTCAATCTTCACAGAGGAAGAGGAACATCAAATCGAAAAAAGTCGAGAGGGTGGAGGGGAGCACATAAGAGTGTTTTAAAGAATTAAAATGGACAGACATAAAGGTAGAAAAAGGTGAGGTGAGTACTGTGAAGTGGTCGAATATGACATACATTGGGGTCATGATAGCTTTAACTCAGAAGTCAACTGCCGGTTAATAGACTTTTTTGCCGCATGGGTATACGTTGCCCAGGGTGCACCATGTGGAGGTAAGTCTACCGCACACCCCATTTTCCCAAATATCAGGTATTGAAATTCATTCAGCTCTCATTAGGTGTCTCAAATTCACATGAAAAGCTAAATTCCGCTTTTTTTCATTTTTAGTGCATATCGGTAGCATTTCTAAACGGAACGGGAAAAGAGACACTTCTGTGCCTATTCCATGATACTGTCATGGAAGAATTCTCTAATCGAACGGTAGGCAAAGGAATGGGTGAGTCAGACACGTCCCAACCTCCCCCCTCCGGAAATACTCTCCAAGCCCGTGATTCTATCGTCGGATTAGCCTTAGACTGGCTCACGAATGCCCTTTACTTCTGCGTAGACGGTGAACGACCCAGATTAGAAGTGATTGATCTCAAGTACCGAAACTATCTTCCTTCTCTATCTCCCATACATGATAGTTCCGTACTGCCCTTATACTCACCTCCTGTGCCACAGCACCCCTCTCAAAGGGGTTCACGACCTCGAAAAACCCCCACCGCATCACGTAGTCGGGGCAATTGGCATTCTAATCTACGTGTCCGACGGGATATCGTTCCCCCCTGGTTTCTTCCCTTCAAAGGTTCTGACCCTGTTGCAGATGCCTATGATCTCTACACATATGATTTTAACCCAGTTACTGATAGATTGGCCAATAGTGTGGATAATTATCGGCTAGTTTTATTGCACAATCTGTCTTCTCCACGAGATATTGTGGTGCATCCAAAGAAACGGTAAGATTTTCCTATTTCCATTAAATTCAATGTGGCATTTTGGCCATTTTATGTATTGTTGTTGCTTGAGATTAGAGGGTGCTTGTTACTCATCGAATTTAGATTTTATTTATGTTTAGTCGTCGTATTTTGGACAATATTATTTTAACGTATATATATATATATATATATATATATATATGGCTAACTTTCAAAAAAATATACTGAGCTTGATCTTGCGCCAGTGGCGCAGTCGTAACGAGGTCAGTGGCCTTGAGATCTAATTATAATATATTATATTATTATGTTATATTTATCCATTGTGTAAAGTATTTGCACTATCATCATTCCGGAGTGAGCATTTTGCATCACTTTCTTTCAAGGTCTCGGGCCATTGTCCATCGACGCACATCTAGTTAAGCAAGTGATCAACCACTGATTGACACTGGTTAAAAGTGGGGTGGTTCTTAAATTGTCTTTTTACCTAGGTCGAGTTTTGTGAAAATTTCTTCTTTAAAGAGCTTGAATAATTTTATATAAGACTGAATCATCGACAACTAAGGGTGTAAGTTGGAAAGGCAACGTCTTTGCCACTTCTTTTGTTAGAATTGGGCCACTCAATGAGCGTTGAACCATTTCCTTACTTTGTTCTTTATTTTAATTTTGCTACTTTTTTAACAAGCTATTTATTCTGGTTGGATGGAACCCACAATGCACGTTTCAATATATTTTCTGCCGGTCTGGATGGTCGAAATCACCGATTGATTTGGAATGGAGTTGGAATGGTCATGAGTTTGGCCATTGACTATACCGGTACGTTTCCACTGCCCTCATACGCTGAATGCTTTGAATGACTCATTCTTCTAATTGCACACACACTAAACTGCCGTCACTTCCTCGTTAAACGTTAGCGCGCCACATCGATGATCTATTTTTTGAATGAATTATGATTATATGTTTTACCGCTCCTTTCACCTTTCCCTCGTCTATTTATAGCCGATCGTCTTTATTGGATGAATTGGGTGACCAAGTGCATTGAGTCTATAACTCTCAATGGTGAAGACTGGTTCTCGGTTAATCCTCAACTACCGTCAGATCATGGGACTTTGAGAAATTCTGATTATATGTATGATGATAGTTCTCCTCGATCTTCCTCCTCTTCGGATTTCCACCCTTATGCCATTGATGTCTTTCAAGGATCAGTTCTATTCTCGGAGGTTAGTTTGTGCTCATGTTCCTTCTGGAACTGTAGGCTCTTCACTCCTGCAATGCTAAGAAGTCTAATTTTTTTGCTACTATGATCTATGGACCCATTTAGGCTATTTGATGACTTAGGGCAAGTTTGAACTGATGTTTAGGGGTAAAAAAAATCCGTGGATTTATAGCAGTTTTGTACTGAATAATTATCGAGTTGTCAGGAGCAGTGTGCTTCCACCTCGGAAGTTTTCCACCCCGAGACAAAGCATACTATCAGTTCTCCCTGAAGTGGATTTGGTTTTGTGTAAAATCGTAACGTTGATTAGTGGCAGTGTATAGTAACGAGTCGGGTCAAGCGTTTTCTAGGGCATGTGCTTATATCTCGGGGATTAATTGTCCTCAATTTGCGTAGTCCATTTGAGCTGAAAACGATCAGTTAATGGGCCTGTAAATAAAAATGACTTTCAATCTTACACTTATTGACGGGAAGGTAAAGCCTGAGTATATCGATGTATTAAAGGTAATAATATTTTACCACCTCAACAGAATTCGAACAAAATAGTAAGATATGAAGCTGTCATTTTTATTCGCATGTTTTCTGAAAAGAAGTTAATGTATTTTTTTCACGGTTTAAAGGCTCATTGTCCCTCACGACCATAGGTCAACAAGGACGCTTACTGTTCAATTTTTGTCGCTTTTGCATTTCTGACTCCATTGGACTAACTCACCCTACCTTTCTCTAAACATTTTTGTCTGTTTTTTTTTATGTAACAGCATATCTTTTAGGAATAGAATACAGTCTCTTTTATTGATAATGTCTCCGGCCGGAGTTATCATTACTATCTTCTTGTGGAATAATTATGTCCTTTAAACTCAATTTGAGTTTAGTTTCGATAATAGTAAGGCCACATTTACTCTTTCTGCTGGTTTATTAAAATCATTTTGCGCACTATTGTGCACTTTTTTGTATTTTTTCGAAAATTAAATTAAATTTACGTAAAAGCCGAAGGAGTCGTTGAACTGAAACCGACACAATCTTGAGGAATTAGGCGGGTGTAACCCTCATGTTCAAAAGTATATTGATACTCTGTTAGTACAGTCAAGTTTATAGTGCTAAGCTAGACTCATGTCTGTTGCATTTAACCACCATTATGCTAGATTTTGCATTCCTCTAGCTAACTACTCAAAGTGTGTACAGAGTGCAAATTCCAAGTACTCGCAATAAAGGGAATCAATTCAATGTGGCTGCTGATTTGCTTCTTCGTGGTGCAGCCTCACCCTCGGGTCGACAAAACTTCCTTGTCTTGGGTCTTTTTGTTGCTGGATTCGATAGACAAGCTGCAGAACCAGGTCATCGTTGTGCTCCACCCTCGTCCAATCTGGCATTCTATTCCCAGGCTCCAGCATGGAATTATCCCTATAGTCTACAGAATCCTCCGAATCAACCTCATCATCAACAGTCAGGACCAATTTGCCAGGTAAATTTTTTTTTGCATTCATCCGCAACACTCCTTTCATGTAGTCTACATTTTGACATTTTCGCGGTGTTGCTATTACTTTTAGTCACCTTCCTCGATGTAGGAATTTCATTGTTCAACCTAATATTCAGCTTTCGTAATTGCTTTTTTTCGCATAAAATATAGGATGGAGTTCTATTTTCCGATGTTTTTTTTACTATTGGACATAGGGGAGTAGTTGTATTATTTTTAGGCTTAGTAGTTTTTAGCGATAGGTGGCCTATTGCTTAAAATTGATATAAGATCGACAACCCCCTCATTATTGCGTAATTAAAGCTTTTGCTATAGGACAGAGCTGTGTATCTTTAAGTCCTTTTGGCGAATATTTGAGCTTCCCTGCACATATTTAGGCAGACCCTCCCAGTCTTATGTTCATATTGGATGAAGTTTGTTTAGATTATCACTATCTTCCTTTAATAATCATTGATATTTTCGGTAGACTATGCAGGGTAATTGACTAGCACATCGTACCCGCAATCAAAAGCCTAGATAGACTGAAGACCTACTGGTGAACGTCTTAACTCCGTTTCTCGCAACAGTCGATTAAAGAAATCAAACGAGGGACAAAGTCTATTTGACATATTTAACAGTGAGATTTGTTTTAATGAATATATCCATTAGCCATTCTTGTCGAAAGAACTTATTTCTTAACGATGTAGTAGTGGGTTAGTGGTCAATATCATTTGACTGACTATCGTTTCTGGCCTCTTAAATTTCTGGAGATCTTGCGGCATTTTCATATAATAATCTTCTTGAGTACAAGCAGAGCGGTGTTAATCTTTTGTTTCTTCTTTGAAACATTACTCTTATTGACTCAACCGAACTCCATAAACTTCGTCTAACATGTGTATGCACGCACGCACATTTCACTTTGAAACTACCAGGTTTCAACTGGTAAGCACTTCTAAACGAATCTTGAGGCTGATTAATTATCACATTCCATATACCCAATTCTATCCGACCCATTTACGCACGCACGTGTTTGTTTATTCCTATCTATGGCCTCTTTTTCAGACATGTTTGACCGCTTGACCGATCTCTTTGCTTCTTAAAGCCAATAGGCATAATGTAACTGACGTAACGGCTTTTATAATGTTCAGTTGCCACCTGCATTAAGCTTCAATTATTCAGACTTCGGAAAAAATGAAGGCGACTTGAAGCACAAACGACGACCTTTTAATCAAGAAAGTGAAGTTTCCTTTGGGCAATTGGAAATGCTGTAAATGATGAACAGTAGAGTTGCAGTAGTATTCGATTGTCCAGCTTAGCACGGGGTATAGCCTATTCGTTTTGCTCGATTTCTTCAGAAATGTATGCTTAAGCCTCTTAATAACTGTTGCGTGTGTGTGTGTGCGTGCGTGTGTTTGTGTTCGTTTATCTCCCTGTAGGAAATTTTGATCTTTTTGTACTCGAAAGAATGCAAGACCTATCCCTTTGAAGAAACTATGTACTTTACACACAATTTGATCGAGTTAACTGCCTTTTTTATATTCGAAACCAGGCCTTGTGTCTAGGCGCACCCTCACCTCATTCTGTTCTTGGAAGTCGAGGTAACGGTGGCTCTCAACAATCGGTGTTCAGAACACGTGGTGGTATCGGTGGCGGATATCCACCACCGCTCATTGATGATCGATCACCTCGATTTACTTGCGCCTGTCCTACTCAATTCACGTTGGCTTCGGATGGATACAGCTGCCTGGGTTAGTTTATTTATTCCAAAGAAATGTAATTGTCACTCATTTGTTCAATGTCACTAATCGCGCAGGTATAGGAAAAGTATTGTTTTGCACCGTTTTGGGGGTAAAGAGGCAGATTTGTATAATGGGATAAAGTTCATTTGAGCCAACTTAATCAACACAGCGGAGAATAAGATGAAAATGCAGTTAGCCTATCATAAGGTTTGTCAGAGTTCAATTTCGGTTGGGCACTTTTATACTACTACCTCAGTTCCGCTTAACAACGTAAGATCGTTTTGTTGTCTCAACCTTTGAAAGAAACAACAAAAAATTGATTGAAGCGACATGATTGGCTTCTGAAATTAAACAGTCGGCTTATTGATATTGGATGTCGTGGTCAAGAATTTGCTCAGTGCTCCACACATTATTTATCATGAATTTTGTTCTATTTATTAAATAACTGCTGTGCAAACCCAATTCAAAATCAGCCATAAACTAAGACTCGGATACTTTATGTCCTTCTATTCCCCCCTTCCCCACCTCTTATTATTCATTGGACTTACTGTTAATCGATTTTGGTTGCTTACCTACGACAAGAAGTTGGTTTGTTAAAGTAGCTTTATGTAAATGCTCATAAAAATTGGAGCTGACTTTGTGAGCAGACTTAAAATTTGCCAGTTCAAAGTTTGCCTTACTTATTCTTGTTGGCTTTATTGCAAATCGGAGATTTTACTTCTCGCTCTTGATTCGCTATCCAATTCAATCCTAATTTATATGTGGTTCATATTCCTACTTAAATTTGCAAATAACTAGATTGCGAATTGTATGTAAGGTTCCACCTTCCAAGAACGTAAGAACTGAATTCATCAAATTTTCTTATTCAACTTTTCCGTCTATTATCCCACGCGACACCCTCTAGATTATGAACTTATTTTGACATTAGGAGAGGCAGGGAGTAATAAATCATCCCTGACATTTATCGATGCGCTTGCATAAGTGTCTTCCCGCATGCTTACATGCACACACCGGCTCGAGTTAATGACATTCCTGCCTATCCTGCCGCCTGATGTTCACATTTCTCCCACCTTCCCATTTTTAGAACCCCAACAAAGTCTACTGATTATCACTACGGATGGATTAATCACCCGTTACACACCCGACGACCAGCCGACAACCAACCTTCTCTCCCTCTCTCCCCTCACGCTTCCCATCCACGATCAGCTTTCAGCCGATGCCCCTCCTCCAACTTGGCAGCCTGTTGAGCAAGTTTCACCTCCTTATGTCTATGCAGGCGGAAGTGATTCAACGTTCAATGAAGGCGATCCAGATGTTCTAACTGACCCTCTTGTCTTTGCCCGACGATGGATAGCGCGCCATAGAGTTGCTGCTACAGCACTGGAGGAGGTTACAAATGCGGGTCTGTTTTTCCTTCTCCAACCCGTTGGGGGACGGGAGAGAGTGGCATCATCGTCTGCGCCTCTGAATTCACCCCCTCGGACTGGTGGGAGAAACTTTAGACATGCCTCGGAGGGTGGTGGAAGAAATAGTGCTACTAGGGGCAATTCGTTTACGGAAAGAGTTCGCGCTGGGGTGCCTTTTATGCGTCTGGGATTCCTGGAGTTTGCAACAGGAGAAGTTACGCTATGGGAAGGTGGTCCATGTAAGTTGAATTAGCATTTATTTTTAATTTCAGTTTCAGACGATCGATAAGTAATCACCGGAGAATCCTGCCTTATAAACGCTCTCTGTGGATTTCACAATATATCTTCCACTTTTGCGTTGATTTTTGCAATTCTTAAGTATCCTAAGCCGATTAATTCTTTGCTTCATTATACTTCTTTTGAATTTGATTTCAATATCTTATTCGAGACACAGTTATCAGCAAAACTTTCCGAATTATATCGAATAATAGCACTTACTATGTAAATGCGCTTATGGACATTTGGTTTACTGTTCAATTTCTACCATACTTGTTTGTTGTAATTAAGTCTACGTTTGAGTAACATGAAAGGGAAAAAATATGTTTTTTTTGAAAATTATCTCGTAATGATGAATGTTTCGAAATTCTCATTTGTTCCTCAACTTGTTGGCCAGTCAAATTGGTCAATATTTGTGCGAGTTTGTTGGATGTATACCTCGTGCCACACCTTTCTGTGAACATGTCTTTTATCCCTTCCCAGATATACGATTCGCGGTAATTTTTCATCTGGTAATAGAATTACCTTTTGAAATCGAAATTGACAATTCATTGATGATGTTTTAAATGAAAGGTTACTGTCAAGATCTTTCATCACTTATTATTTGTGGTTAGTTGATACGGTTTCAGGACGTTTGATTCAGTCACGGATGGGTGAAAATTAAAACTGGTTGAGACACAATCATTTCGCTTACTGTCGATTTTAATCCACCCTTTGCCCTCCTTATTTTGTAGTGGTTCCATTGCCTGAGAGCGGATGGAATACTTTTATCCCCAGCGGCGGAAGTAGCAACAGTCAACCAAGTTCAACTTCCCAACAGTCCAATGCGATATCCTTCAACCGACCCCGATGGAGTCTCGCATTCGATCCTGTTAATCAGATTGTGTTTTGGAGTGATGCTGTTACTGGTCTACTGGGTGCTGAAAATAGTAGATCCGGTCGAACGATCGGTCTGGTGGCTAATCTCACCGAGGTTATACCTTAACTTTTCGTATATGCACCACTAGCTGCCTAAAAGTGATATAAGATTTCCTTTTATTTAGAACTCCCGTACTGTTCTTGAAATTGTTGTTGAGCCCCGGTCTGGCCAATTATTTCAATTGACTTCCAAGAAACTTGAGTTTGAATCTCAGCCCACAGAATGTCGAATCGAAGCGACCTACTTAGATGGAAGTGATCGCCGAATAGTATACGATGCGTCTAAAACTTCCTCATGCCCACATTCCCTCACATATTCGGCCAAACTCGCCCAACTCTTTTGGGTCGATCCCAGCAAGAAACGAATTTGTACAGTTAGCGTAGCTACTGCTCTTGGAAATGGAGCTTTGCGGCCAGAAACTGTGGTTTTAGATACTTTCCCCATTCCTAAATCCCTCGTTATTTTACCAGAAAGTGGTAGGGGGTCGCCATCATCAAGTGACGTTCTCTGGTTGACCTGGTTGGAGCCCATTAATCACGGTATCAGTTTTGGAGGCCAAAATCATCCTATGAGTCTCCTCTATGTACCATTGGATTCAGTTTTCTCTAACACAGCTCCTATTGCAGCGCATAAGCCCCTTGTTCCACCTCCTGGTCTCAATTCTTTCTTATTGAACAGTGGAAGTCAACTTTTCCTGGTTCCAGTAAGAGGTGGTGGTTTGGGAGATCTTTCCTGGCATCCATGTGCTGGTCCATCGCATGGAGAGTGCTCACAATTCTGTCTACCAAAAGCAACTGCGTCCTCACCTAGTTTGCCTCTTTATCCTGGTCCTCTTACTCCTCATCCACCACTATCATCTCCACAACCCCAGTCACTGTGGAGGACAGTTCGAAAATGTGCCTGTGCTCTCGGTTCCCAGCTCCTTAACACTGGCTCTCAGAGTGATGAGGGTAATGTGTGCAGTCGGATACCCTACTGCTTACCACCTAATATGCTCTGTCGAGTCGGTCTCACAACGAGAGGCAAGAAAGCTCGAGCTGTTAATTACTTCCTTCTGGGCGAACCATTTCCTCAAAAAGGAGCTTGTATTCCAGCCCACAAAGTCTGTGATGGTGTGGCTGACTGCTTGGATGGAAGTGATGAGGTGAATTGCCCACAAGCATGTCCCGAGTATGAGTGTGACAATGGACTCTGCTTGCCTTTCTCTTCGCGTTGTAATGACGTTATCGAGTGTGATTCTGACGAGTCGTGTTGTGGTAAGGATCAATTTGAGTGCAGACGTCCGCGACATTCATTGTTGTTATATCAACAATATCCTGGCACACCCTCCAGTCGCTGCCTACCATCTGCTCTCGTTTGCAATGGACGACCTGACTGTCCTGATGGTTGGGATGAGGCTTCTTGTGATGAACACGACGTCTCAAGATCACCTATCGGTGAACTTGAACCAAAAAACGGGGTTTTATCTAGTGCTAACTTAACAGGAGGAGCTGATTCGCTTGTTGTGGAAGTCCCTAGCAAACCCTCAGGCGGAGAATTTCCTTTTATTTACATTATCTTCATAGTCTCAGCCATTGTCGTGGGGCTGATTATAATCGGCATTGTTACCTACCTTTGTTCCAAAAAGTAAACTTTGCTACTCAGTTTTAACTATAAATGGTACTTCAACCTTAGCTAATGGTGTGCTTATTTTTTTGGCATTCCAGCTGGTCCAAATCCTCATACACAGTCCACACGGATGTCCTCTTACTTCCTGCTGGTAAGAGGGAAAAAGGGAGACTTAGTGGGGATGACAATGGCACCAAATGTATTAATGACAGTGCAAAGGCGCGTGGGGATTGTCAGGAGCCGTTGGTTGGCGGAAAGACGACAATAAAATCTAGTGCCACTCTCACGGAACACACATCAACCGCAAATTCGCGTAGCCGCAGGTACATTGGTGGCAGTAGTCGGCGGATAACCTCGAAAGTAACAGTACTACCCTCGCCTCCTGTTAACGACGCCTCAAACTGGTATTGCCCTTCGTGTTCGTCGAAAGGTGGAGCAGGTGGTTGTAGTGTTCAGTCACCTTCGGCCCCTAGGACCTATTGCATTCGGTGCCAGAAACATAGTCGTCATCATTCTAGAAACCAAAGTAAGTAAAGCTTCCTTCGTTTATTAATGTTTTTATCTAGATGTAAGCCCTCTTTCTATATTTCACTTTGCTAACCTACCAGTACAGAACTTAATTAGGAGGTTTATATGAAAATTAATGGGTTCTGGTCTATAGATAGGGCCTTGTCAATAGTGATTGACTGATTTGGTCGGACATGGTCGAGCTCGTTATTCTGTTATCACTACAGCTTATCCATTTTAACCTTGGTAGAGTCAAGTCGCACTCGTTCACCGTGCCAATGTGGAACTAAAGTCAGCGATGCCGGTGACAACAGCTCTGTCTACTGGAATTCTCGCTGTCCTTCGAAATGCCCTCCTGCACCACCACCGTCCTCTCTTCCATCACCTCCCCCCTCACCCACGACAGCAAGTTGCCTCTTTGATAATGGGCCCACTTCCAACACATGTCATCCTCCTCCCGCACCTCCACCATCCAAACTTCACGCTGACAATGACGATGACGTGGATGAGTACGGAGAAGAATTGGCTGGAAGCAGTTCCACAACTCCTTCTTGCGAGTTAAGTGATTCTTCCAGTCTCACCGCATCGCCACTTCGTTGTCGACATTCTCATCATCGAAGACGACGCCATCGGCCTAGCCAACACCATCATAGACGCCGGTTTCAACGACATGAACCTTCTGTGTCATCTGTCACTTCTGTTGATCACAGTGCCTATCAATATCCAGCTACCACCAGTCATCGACGATCTCGTCATAGAGCTGGAAGTGGTAGACGCATGAGACGCAGGAAAGTGAGCTTCAGGTCAGATTTGGATGAATGTGGTGGTCATTGCCCACAATGTGGATCAAGACAACGGCACCACTCACAGCAAGGTTCAAGTTCGCGAAAAAATATTATGAGAAGGAATACATTTGCTACTACTGCAACGGGGGCTGTCCAACAGCATACTTTAGTGGCGACCTATAATAGTAGGGTGGAACCGACAACTAATACCATCGGAAGCAGTACGTCGTCATCTGGTTGCCACAAAACGAATTCGAATCACTCTTCTGAATTTTATCCCAGGGCAAGTGAAACCTTAATATCATTGTTTTTTGTCTTTCCCATAACCGAGATACTCGAATATTGTCACTTTACTAACAATAAAACCAATACGTCTACTACTTCCATTCACTGAATGTGGATCGATGGGAATCTAATATTTCAGATAAGCTCATTATGGAATAGCATCCAAATGTGCAAGTTCCTACAGGGGGTGGGGCTCTTGTTTCGTACTCCGAAATTATTTGAGGCTGCTATCTCATTAGGATTTGACCATTCTTCTTTGGGAAATGGGCATTCGAGAACGTTCAAACAAATCTCAAATCGATTTCAATTATTCCAGTTAAGTTGCTTTAACGAAGGAGGGCGATCGATCTTTAACTTGCCATATAGTTTAGCTTATGCTAATCGTCATATTGACTAAGACATATCTATTTTAGCATTTTAGCTCCTCCCCTTTTTGTGTTTATTTTTTATAAATCATAATTTTATTAATTTATTTCTGATTTAGGAAACGGTAAATCCACCACCAAGCCCAATCACCGAGTCGATCTACGCATCGCTCCCCCTTGCTGTGCTTAAACACTCTGAAATTATGTCACAGAATGCGAGATTGTCCAACTCTTCCGGTTCAAATGGAGTCATCTGTAATGATGGTGTGAATTCCTTGTCGTTTGAAACTCTCGGTAATGACAAAGAATACGATAGAAGGCTCATTTCAACAGGTAAATTTGACGACTTGTTTATATTGTAGATGCGAAATTAGTCAGTTATTCAATCTTTTGGCTCTTCCCTTCTTAAAGTTTCATTGTAAACTAGGATTAGTATTTACTGTTTCATTACTACTATTCTGTTCGGTTGACACCGTATACTCAATCTTTGTTAGAACTTAATAACTCAATTGTTAGTATTGAAAGAAGTTTGCATTAATCTTCTTACATGTCTCCATTTTCTTTTTGTTTCATTTCAGTTGGGAATCTTGGCAGATCAAGTGTTGGTGCGTCAGCTCCACCATTTTATTGCCCGCCTGGCGAAGATTCGTTCGGAATTCCCAAACAACTTCAAATGCCTTCTTCTGCTGTAGGAAGCCTGGCTACAACCTCATCTTTACCCAGCGCATGCCTCCCCACCTCTCATCGTCACAACCATAAGCACATTAGTGGCAGCGGGGCCAACGACGTAAATACCACTTTAACCGCTGTTACTGCATCTTCTGCAGCTAAGACAACAACTACAACGACAACGACGATTCAGAATGTCCATGTAGTCATAGTGACGTCAAACAAGGAGCAGAAGATGCATCATCATCGTCATGAATGCTGTGACTGTTGTTCAGATTACTCCCTGACATCTTGCTCCTCTGACAGCGAAGGGCCGCCTCCTGAGGCTACTCCACATCAATTTCCGGCTTTAATGGTGGCAGGTGGTGGTGACCTCGCCTCGGTGATACCAGAGGAACCGAGAGAACAAGCAGAGGGGGCTGAGGCTGACGAGGAGATTAATCCTCCGGCCAGGGCTCCGTTTGCTCAGTTCTCCTCGAAAAATGCATGAATTCCCTCCTGCCTACATATAGCGCCTTTTCTCTCATTGACTTTGGTGAATAAGCATTTCCTTGTAGCATGCTAACAATCTAACAAGACACGTATATGACTGTGTACGTGTGTATATTTTACTTAATCAGTTTTATCTTATTTGAAATAATTCTTTAGTACTATTGTTTTCTACGATATTATAAAGTGTATATTTCTTTTTTCAATCTTTTGACCTCAATCGCAATCAATTTTTTGTTGCTGGGGGTAGGTTTCATTGAAAGCCACATTGGCAGTTTTGGCAATTTTAGAAGAATTGAATTTGTTTATGTCGTTTGTTTTTTTAGGATTTGTAAAGCTCTAAATATCTCACTTTATCTTTCAGTAGCTCCAATTTTCTTAAAAGATTTTTAGTCGGAGATGTTCTATCGATGGCCCCGTCATGCTTTAAACCTATTTCATGAGATTACCTCTTAAAGTTTAGTTAATTTCTAATGATTAACAAGTGATTGTTCATTAATTGTGTGGTCTCATTCCCTAAATACTCTGCAAGAATTTGCCGTAGAATTAGTCCAATTCGTTGAGAGATTGTCAAGTTTGAACTTAGGTATTCCAATGTAAATCTGGGTGAAACGTGTTTCATAGTCATTCTATATTCTTAATATTCTATATGGGGATATTGAAATTGAGTGCCAAATTGACACCATCTCGTTCTTAGCTCTTTACTTAAAATAAATTAAAGTTATAACTTTAATATACTTAGTCATTATTGATTAACAAGAAGGGCTGTTATGAGGGCTTAGTTTAAGAAAAAAAATTACTTCGATTTGCTTTTACGCAAAGTGGTTCGGCGTGCTTTCAGTTGCAATTGAAATCGTAATTCATTTTAGTATTTGGCTTTAAAGCTAACAATCGGTCTCATTTAAAAGGACGTATTCCAAAATCTGTCTATAATTTCCCTGTTTTTTATTTTAATATTTAAATATCCCAAGCGTTACCAGTCGAATGATCTACTTCGTGAAGAATAGTTGCTTCAACTACTCGGATTATGCATATTTTGACGATAAGTGGGCTCCTATTTTATTTTCTACTTATTTTATATTCAGTAGTGATTACCTAATTAATTATTAAATTGTGCAAATGTGGAAAATAGATGAATATCGACTATCTTACTGATTTCTGGCTTATTACCCTCTCCACAATGACGAGACATGCTCCACAAAATTCATATCGAAAACAAAACCTCAAATGAGTTTAAACAATTAGTAACTTATTTTAGGGCAGAGTGACTGAGGCGACAGAAAAGGTTTTCCAGAAGAAATTCAGATTATCGTTCTATTGGTGTTATTAAAACAGACAAGCCAAATTTCCGATGATTCGATCTATATATTTATCTTGTGTCAATTTAGGTATATTCAGTTAATTGGCTGTTAATTAACTAGCCTTTTACACCATGATAATTCTAGGTAAACGTCATTGCCCAGCGTTATCTCTGAGCGACAAATTTCATTTTGTTGTAGGGGCAAAAGTGTCTAACCCGACAGTAGAAATTACCTACTGTTTTTCCTCATTAGGATTTAAACACTAGCAAGGCCATTAATGCCGAAAATTGGCGTGTCGATGTTCAACTGTGCAAGGTCACTGGAAATTCATCGGTAAGTTGAATAGAATGTGAATTTAAGTGTCGCGGCCTCAAATCTCGAGGTTTAATAAAGATGAGTAGAAAAATGCTTACACAGCCCTTCTTTGCGCCTACTTGTTGCCGGGATTGGGAAGTTGGTTGTTTACGACAACAATAATGGAATAAATATTAACTGCTTCAAAATCCAACATCTAATCTATCCCCTTAGCCAGGATTGAATCTTTGGAAATTTCTTTTATGCATTTGGTATGATGTACGCGCAATAATACATTATGATCAGCTAAAACTGGTTGAAACGATTCATCGGACTAAACCAGAAATTAAAAGCTAAACGTCCAAGTTTACTTAAGAGAGAAGATATTACTCTTCAGCATGGTACTGCCCGGCCCCACAAACAAGAATGACCTCAAAAATGGTGGAATTAAAACAGACCTTGCCTCGTTCCATGATCACTTTTTCACATTCATTGAGCATACTTAAATGTAAAAAACGATTCCTAAATTCGATCATAGACATAGATGAAAATGAATAACATTTCAACGCCGTTTTAAAATGCATTAGTTCTTATTGGTGCACACAACATAGGAAATCTAGTTATGATATTTTCCGTAGCGTTTTGAACAGGTTTATAGCCTTGCTTCTTCTACACATGGACTAACTGACAAAATAAAGAACATGAAGTACAATTTTCAAAATCTGGCTCTCCAGAAAATATTTTTTTGCAGTTAAACGTGAGGATACTAACAATTTTTGTGAGTTTGTTAAGTTTTATTGATTGAAAACATTCGTTGTTTCGGACATTGGAGTAATTGAGAATAGTATAGATGCTTGCAATAAGAATATTTGGAAGGATTTCTTCGTGATTGCAGATTCATGTACGTGGATGTGTATTTCTTGCAACAATGCTACTTCTCTGACACCATTTCTGTTAACTAAAGCAAATTCTGGTTTGATGATTCTTTAGGAAAACTCTATTAAATACTTGGGCTCTACAGCACTATGCATTGGCCACTTGAAGGTCATTTCTTAGAACTAATTAAATTAGGGAATATTTCTGCTCTCATTTTGCTGATAATACTGTAAAAGGGAAGTTGTGCAATTCTGTTTCCACATCTCATCCTATTAATGTAGTTACATTATATTATTCTACACTTAAAATATAAACAGACGAGTAAATTGAATTATCTTTCTGCCGAGTTAACGCATAAATATACCTTGAAACAGTACTACAATATTCAATTATTTAAAATAAAAGTTTCGTCAGTAGTTCAGTAATTTTTTGCAAATACGATTCCGGGCGGTTTTCTGACTGTCATTGGCGTGCAGACTTGGCCGATTTAAATGAACCGGGCGACTGCTTCTGGGCTTTATTTGAATCCTCTGCACGCAACCTCTGGCGCCGTACCTGTTGCTCGGATATCCGGAAGGAGAAAACGAGGTGCTGAAGCGCTATAAGAAAATATATTTATCTCTCTCTCTGAAATGAGAATGAATATAGTTTGTAGTTATGACCATACCACGTAGTACTAGTAGTATTCAATTTATTCATTTTGCTTTCGGAGAGAAATGATTAAAAAATTGGCTTGTGGAAAGGAACAATAAGGATGATTCACAATTTATTCATAAAACTGCGGGGGTACTGTAAAAATCTTCAATTTATAGGTATAAAGGGAATTTTTAAAAGGCACACTATTGGTCGTAAATAGTAATGAATAGCATACTTCGACAATGCGCAAGTTCAAGTAAAAGGCCTTGCACTACTGGTTTAAGACACAACGAAATTTCGAAATCACGAAGAAATACCTGTTGGTTGTCCTTCAAACAACTCATATTTTTTTTTCATTTTCATCAAATAAATCTCTCTCTTTTTTTACTTTGCGTGATAAAAAATTAAAATGCTAATAAATGGTGCTTTTACTGAATACTTGTAGAAAAGGTTACAAAAAGGCTACATCATAGAGGTTATAATTTTTGTGTTCGATGTCGAAATCGAAGGTACTTCAAAGACTTCACTCCATATCGGGACGCAAGATCCTTTATGTATCTGACTTTCAACTCCTCTAAGCAGTGTCTAAAAATAAGAAAAAAAAACTACGTTAAGAATGTGGAGGATAGGAAAAGTTATTTTCAATTGTTTCTTTAACTGTAATACCACCATACAAGAAGCTTATTAGACCATTGGATGAAAATTTTTTGGGGTGGCTTGTATTAGAGTTTGCTCGTGTGATTTGTTGTCATCTTATTCGTGAAACGGCTCAGTAGACGCAATATCTGTTGATACATTTCACAGTCTTAGGTCATTTAGCATGTTCCTACCCCTTGCATAGTCCAACCGGGATAAACTACCTCAACACTTACTATAATATCAGAAACAATTAATAAAGATTACTTGAACACCATTTTTCGTAAATATGGGAGACGAATTTTACTAACGAAAAAATGAGTTGACAATTAGTTCTAGTGACCTTATTTTTCGTTATTTTAAAATTATATTAAAATACTAAGGTCTGAGAGGATTTAGACTAATAATATATGATATATTGAAACTCAAGGGCTGATTTGGCCAGCAAGGAATGAAACAAAAAAAGCTTAACACGTATTCCAAACACATTCGCTCACTTTCGACTGACCATCTAGTTGACCGCAGTTATTACAGTCATTAAGGAAAAGCTAAATTTTTAAACTTCATGTTCTCTAAGTGCTATCAGCACTTGACTTTCACATTTATCTTTCTAAGTTGTGTGTGTACTTTATCTGATTTGTGCCCCTGTGGTAAAGCGTTTTATTAAGGAGAGTTTCAACTTGAAAAAAATATTAGTCAAACTGTAATGAACTAGCCTGAGGGCAACCGAATGACGAAATCGGTTGGATTCAACACTTGGCGCATGAGGGAAATGTATTATGAAGACATCGGGAATGACAATAAATTTAAAATCCAAAGCATCAAGTAGCATAAAGAAGGATACTTTGTTCCATCCGAAACCAACAAAATTCTCATCGAATTGGCCAAACTCCCTATTGATCAGCACATAAGGCTCAAAATCGGTATCCCATGTCACCTACAAATATTAAAGTTTAAGGAAGAAAATAATCATATTGTTATAGCGACCGTTACTCTCAATCATTAAATCAAAATAACAGAATAGTAAGAAATAAGTACAGATAACTGTTATTTAATATATCAAATTTTTCTGCAAAAATTCCATTGAAATATATTTTAATTCAAGTTTGTCTTCTCACAAATAAATAAGTCCAATGTCATGACAATTTCAACACTTGCAAAAATATGCTCAGTAATTTAGTAAAAATACATAAATACTGAAACTTGTCTTCCACTCAAAAAAATCCTTTTAGTGTAAATAGCCGCCAATGGCCTAATTGATGTAAGGGCTTAAATAGTCCAGTTTTCGAACCGATTATAGATTCTACGTACAATATAAAATTATTGAATGCTCTACTTGAAAACAAGTGTTGGGGAGTTTTGCCTCAGTAATAATAAGGAACTTGGCCTGGATTAAGTTGCCGACTTAGTCAATATAGGGAGCATTTTTTTCAAACTACATTAATTAAGGAAGGCATAACATGTAAATATTAAAATAAAATGAATATCACTTGTTGTAATAAGCTTGAAAAAATCCATAAAATGAGCAAGTAAATGGATTAGCGTATTATGGATATTTCCATTTAATAAGGCTTATTGAAGGAAATTGTAGCGTTTATTGCAAGTACAATTGAATACTAGCTTGCAAAAAAATGTCTCTTGAATAATGACACCTACGCCATAGGCAACATCCGTTGAATACCAGTGTGAGTAGTTGGTCGCCAAGTGACCAGTCTGCCAGACGTCTATTCGAAATGGCTTCACCACCTCAGACGCAACTTGCTGCAACAATTCCTCCTTTGTGCTTGGAAAATCCAATTGACTATTAAAGGTCTCAAATGCTGGTACTATGTAAGCCACCTTAGTCGTATTTTCAATGGTCTAAATGGGAAAATTAAATTTAACGATTAACTAATAAACACTGTGTGCTTAAAACGACTATGATCAATGCATCGGGAATAGTTGGAATATTTTAGAAGTGGTTAATTGATCTAGATGAAGTAGTCTTTATCCAATAAAAGAAATAAATTCAACCTGTACCTATTCAAATCTAATATAAAATAAATTCCTTCAATTTTTTAAAAAAAGACAAAAGAAGGAATTTGTGTAAACCGGAAATTGCAAACCCACTTTATAGTCACCCAAAATCTCAAGACCGGAAACACCTAAAATTGTGTTTTGATCTCCTTAAATGAAATTGGGTCTTTGGAAGGCCAAGACATGCTTTTGCAATACATTTCAATGAAAATTTTGTATTCAGACCAATTTTGGTTTGTTAGATAGCTTACATGTATGCACTTCATTCTTTATAATTAACATGCTTTTATTCTCAGAATCCTAAAATAATAATTTTAACAATTTTTTGTTCCAAATTTATGAAATAAAGTTGCACTGTTGGCTCATATTTGAGATATTTGTAATTTAATAACTATGATTGTAAAATCAATTAAAGAATAACATCGACAAGAAAGTAAAATAATCTTGTAAGAGGCCCACACTTACTGTTGATAACAAATTTAGAAAATTAGCATAAAGTCCAGGCTTTGGAATGAAATCGAAATCGATGACGAAAATGTGCTTTGTTTCTGAGTACCGAATGGCAACATTTCGAAGAGCGTTAATGGGATAGTAATTCTAAAATGTAATGATGAAAATTAAAGATGCAGTGTTTCTATAGTTATTTACTTTTACAGCAAAGTTGAGAGGAAGTGTACCATGGTCTTTCCTAATATCTGAAGCCAATGATTATGAGCTATCTCCCTAGGTTAAATTCTCACAATAAAATAAGTACCCAGTAATTCATTTTAAAATTGGTAAGAGAAAAAGATGCACTGTTATGATAGTTTATCTAAAAAATCGATTTAAAGGAGACAATTCACTCTTTCTCCTGCGCTGGATTAAATTTTAAATCATGTGATCGAGAGTGTTACTTGACCGTAGCCATGTCGATCGGAGTAAATAATTTAGTCATTGTGTGATTTTTTTCACTTTTATGATATCTGATAACTTAATATACGATTATCACTTTCTTAGCTGAGAATTTACATATTCAAGGTTGCTTTTCATTTAAAAATGGTTAAAAATGTTTTGGATGTGTGCGAAACATTTCAGAAAAATTAAATAAGCATTTTTAGGTGTATATTATATCTTGCGTGTTCAGTCCCAAAATAATCGATAAGTAATAATAAAGGGGAACGGAAGGGTAAATTTCAAATTGATTTATCACTTTACGCAATAATGTAACCTACTTGGTTTTCATCAGTTCGAATAATCTTTTTTATCAATAAAATGTAATTTTCACAAGAAAGTGGAAGGAAATGTAAACTTAAATACTTGATAATTTTCAAACGCTCGATTTCTTCTTACCACACGTATTTCCTCATTGAACCTCTACTTCGGGATTAACTGAATTGTTCTAAGCTTTCGAGGCCTCATCCGACTTACTTGAAAGCATCCAACTGGAGGTAAAGTTTGGCTAATGTAAGTACTGATTTAGTTCTCATTGTTCGTGCCCTAGGATGGTTTCTATCTACGATATAAATAAAGAACATTCATATGGATGTCATAGATGTCATAGTTGCAACTGCACAGGAGAGACGAAACCGGAAACCAGGAGCAAACCCAAGATTGCAAGCAGTGAACACACCTCTTTTTACTGGTTTAATAGTCTTATTTTTCCATATTACAAGGCGGTTGGTGTTTGTTGGGATTGGAAGAGGAGTTTTCCTTTAGGTCAGTAGAATCTTCCGAATAACTTCCTTCCCCACCCCCCCCCCTCCACGTTTGCTCTCATCAGGATACTTTTGAGTGCGTTGAGAGACCTTTTTGACTTGCAGTGTAATTATGAGTGATATGAGGCATGAGAATATCATTAAATGTTCTTTTTCAAGATTATTTTTCGAATTTCGACGAACAGAACCGTGCTGCAACCACTGGCACCAGAGTTTCTGGAAAACCATGCACAATGAAGATACTGTCGAGGAAGATGTTAACCACTAATTTATTTGTTGACGACACTAATAATACGTCCATCCTCTTAGAGTGTGGATCCATCAACTTTAGGGATGCAACATCATTTATAGGACCAGCGAAATTGATATGCCCTCTACACCATGCCATCGTTACTGACAGCCAAGACATGGATTTGATAATTTGAGGGATTCTAAAAACATTTGGACATTTGAGGCAGTATTTACTAGATATTCTATGTCTTTGTTAAGTCATGGTTAATGCGTACATTGACTAATTGTGTCCTCGTTCAATTTATTACGGGATAACTAGAGTGAATTTATCGAGGATCACACTACTCAGATGCAGGCAGCATAATAACTTTGCCAATCCAACTATTCTCCCTTTAAAAATGTGTTTGACCATTTAAATTTTCGCAGGTTTCACGACTTTTCTGATGACTGAGTGTTCCAATTAAGTTTGCTTTATATCTGCCAATGTGACTGTAATATTCTGAGTTGCGTCAGGCTGAATTTAATCTTTTTAATTTTCCAGAGTTATTTTGATAATGTTGGTTTCTAAGTTGGGATGTTCCATCAACTTTTTCGAGTTCAGAAGTGTTCCGATATTCAGTTCCAGTCTATATCATGCCAAAATCACAGCACAGTGTTGAGGTTGTAAGCTTAATATGTTGGAATGCCAACTAAGGTTTGTGGTCTGCCGGAAAAGTAAAGTGACGGCCATAGAAACATTTATGGTTATTCCGCATTAATCAGTCAATGTCAAGTGCATCTTTCCCAATGTGGTACCAGCAAATGGAATGTAGGTACCACAGACATCCCTGAACCATTTGAGAAAATACGTGAGTTCACTGTTTACATACTGAAATTTGAAGCATTTTCACTTCGGATACTACCAATTGTGGAATATAATGTAGAAGAGTCATGTCTGCTTGCAGTATTCATTTCAGCTTCTCAATCACACCTTAATGGCCTGAAGACTAGTGCCAAGAGGTGTCTTTTATAGGAAACGCTTCAAGAACCTCGTAAAAGAATGGTGGAAAACTGCTGAAGAGAATAATAAATCGTAGGAATGAACGAGGAGTTTAGAATTCGGTTGAGGATGGTATGTTCGTCAAGGACTCAAACTCGTATGAATTCAGAATGTCGACCTTTGCAGTCAACGACTCATCTAGATGTTTTACGAATTTTAAAAGAACTCACACTTCTCTCTTGCCTCAGATGGAAACCATAATCAATAAAATGTTGACGGAGACATTCTATTCTCCCTTCGAGTTCATAGTCCATTCGTCTAACTTCTACGATATCGTCCAGATATGCAGCTTCATCCTTTAGCACACTAATCATATTGATCATTATGCGTTGGAAAGGTAGGTGGGGCTGTTTTCATTTTGGTAGGAAGTCTGGCAAGTTGAAATTGACTCAATATTGTGTTCTAATGATCAGCTATTCACAAAAATTCCAGTTCAATATCGATTGCAGGTGAGTTCCTGTTAAATCAAACTTCTCAAATCATGTGGTCATTTTTAAGAGCTGCATTTAGACCGTTGGAAAAATCAGCGCTTTTGCAGACGCTTTTTTTTTGGCTTTCTTGCAACCCCAAGTGCGACAACCAAATATGTTTAAGGTACCAGTTGTAGGACAAAAAACCCTTCAAGACATGACAGCTCGTGTTCCACATATTGTATATATGATAGGGATGCTGAACGCTTTGGTGTAGCAGCTTCCCATAAGTATAAGCTCACTTTTTCTGAAAACTGAAGTGAATTACCCGATTACAGTCAGTTCACCTTCAGTCGTTCCAATATTTGATCTGCTTCTAGTATCTGTCTTACTTATAAATTTTCTGAAATTCTTCTTGTGATTTTCATTCCCCTTTAAGACTTTTGAGCTGGTTTTTGATTCTGCCCCACCTGAGAGACAGATGAATCTTTTCGACATGGAAGCGGATGATCTGCTTCAGTAGCTTTAATTGGCCCTACCAAGCGGGACCTAGAAGAAATAGACAAGGCTGGTTTTTACTAACCATTTGCAATGATTTGTTTATCATTATGACAGACTCTTTAGTTAATTTCCCTTCTCATTTCAAGCGTTTCGGACTATACGGCATGCCACTTTCAGTGTTGAACAGCCCTAGGTTCTCTATCTCATTCCTGAGATCAAAATAATGGCAGAGTCAGTACCCTATTACAGCCTGGCTTTCTTAATATTAATCACCATGCTTAGAAACTGTTACCCATTGGAGCTCCAGCCTTTATAGATTGAATAGTGAGAACGGTAAGCTCGAGTAAGCTTTCCAGCAACCTTTCTGCCATTTGAATGAGCTTTCTTATGGCATCGATACTTCACATCTGTAAGCCATTGTATTGAAGAAATAAAATTGAGACCTATATAAGCACAATCTCTGAAATAGTACATTTCGACGTATAGCCAAAACTTTGATGCAAATTTCCTACTTATTCGCTTGACATAAACATGATCTCCAGCGTTCAAATGGCTCATTGCTGTTACTCAGGACGGTGTTAATTCTGGAACATTTTTCATCTCATTTCCACGAGGTTAAATCATATTTTATTTGATCATATTAAGAGACTTGACACAGACATTTGGAGAACAGAACAAAATGTCCTCAAAGCGAATGTCTGGAGTAGATTTGAAGCCCGTTTGTTCAACATTTTCAATTACCCAAGTAGCATAAACAATCCAATTCTTAGTAGTCCGCTATTAAAATGCTTGACCCTTGATGGCTTTGCCAAATTTCGCCGATTTAAAACAAAAGAGTTCGATTAACTAGTCCTTTGGACAAATGTACCTTGTCAACTCCTCGCGTTCCGTTGAGACCAATCGCTAATCAAGGAGCCAAGTTTTTTCTGCTCAGGGATATCCGCCAGGTACTTAATGAACACGTAAGCTATTTCAAAAATTGAAACCAACTTTCTAGACCGTAAACGGGAGAGTCAGGTTTAATTTTTTTGGTAAAATGTTCCATTATTATCGTGAATCATTCCTGTGGCTTTCCGAATTCGTTCGCGTTTATCTGTTCTTTTCCAATAGTACTTGGATATATTTACATGTAGAAGAGAACTAAAAAGTTCACGAATTTCGGCACTATTCTCTCACAAATGGAATATACAGGGTTATTTGTCAGTTGAAGTAAACGATTTACTGGTCAAATGCTATTTTTAACAACAAATAGCAGAAAACTTAAAACTAAAAGTTTTTATCAAACAGAAACATTGTCAATAATTTTCTTAAATTCATTTCTTTCTTTAAAATAGGTGTCATATTTACAAATACTAAATCTTTGTTTAAATGTATAAACTGAAATATTGCGTGTATTTTAGTTGGTGACTTGATATTTGGCAATAGTTTATCACGCCTTTAATTCGAGTTCATGGCCCCTTAGAGAATTAATAATATGTGACACTATCGTTATTTAAGTTTCCTCTTCCGAGGAAACTGAATTTGAAAATTTGTGCAGATTATCGTAGACTGTTAATGGGCTCTTTTCAAGATTCACGAGAAATCCGTGTTTTATTAACACAAAAAAAGATTTAATAAGCGTTGCTGTACAACATTCTTTTAACTTGTATAATCAATACCTTTTCTAATTATCAATTCATGAAATCTATGCAAGATGTATTCTGGGTAAAAGAAAACGGTGCCTGTTTCGCTCTTCATTAAACACAAGGTCATAATACCTGTCCATTAAACGTTCAGCCAACTCAAATTACTGTTGATAGCTTAAAATTATTGAGGCCCTGGAGGGAACTAATAATGCCTTTTAATTTAAAATATTAAAGCTGGACATAACCCTTACCAAATCACTAGTACTTTAAACACAAATTTTTATCATAATAAAATTCAAGTTCTCCACTTACACCTTCCTGGAAGACCAAATGAATACAGATGTTATTTCTTGAAGCAAGAACGGGTGAGGATTCAAGGTATTCTGCGAGAATTGCAGCTTCTCTGTCAGTGATATAGACGGTCAGGCTCATTGGACCTTCCCAGTGAGCTGCTATTTCCTCAAGGCGATGTAGCCTACGAGCGATTTCATTAAATTAAATTGAAATGAATCAATTTCAACAAACCTAACAAAATGGTGCAATCAATTTAACAAAGTGATATTGTTATTGCATGTTTTGCAATTCAGCCCAATTTCTTTTATATGTTTTATATGAAAATATAAATTAATCAGTCACCTGTCTAGGGTAAGTTGGCTGACAAGGGCAACGTCTCCAGTAATGATGGAATTACTTCCGTAAAAGAAGGGAAGTATGCGTCTCCTGAGTTTCAATTCTAATCGAAGGAGAGGGCAAAATCTCATAATTCCTTTTTCGTAGCTGGATGTTTTAACCTCAGTCTAAAGAGTATGAAAATTATGGAAAACAAACTCTTTGTTAATAAATATATATGAAATTATAATTTTTTAATGCATTGGCGGATATATCGGTGCTCAAAGAGTATTCTTGGTATGGTGACATGAAATAAAGTGAAAAACTGTTTATATTCATTGGACTAGGAGAGGAGAGGGAAGGGTGAGGGGGGTGTGGATGCTCCAAGTCTATTCTTCAACTTATGTTGGTTGATGTCTTTCGCCTTCAATAGTTATTCTCTTTGTTTGAAGGTCTTTGATAAAGTGTTCCGGATAATCATGCTCAGTGTCGATTGCAAATAGAGTCTTCTATTTCCTTTGTCCTCTTCGGACCTTTGTTATTTTCTACTCGAGCGCTAGTCTGTATAATTATATTTACTGTATAATGTTATTGGATCGCATTTACTCACTATCTAATTTCAATTGCAAGAAATTATAACTTGCCATTTCAATTATATGGGCATTATAGAAAAAACTTGATTATTGATTGAAAATATTATTAAAAGAAGCTGGCATAAACAATGGTTACATGTGGCGATTCAACTTACCGAAAGCGTCGCATTCCCTCTGAACAGATTTCCATCAAGATTGGACAGACGTTCTAATTTCATGGCGAATTTTAGCCGCAAATTTGCAGCTAAAACATGACAATAATGGTAGTTGCAGAAGACCAAGGTAATTTGCATTGTTCTGCAATAAAACCTACGTGTCATAGATTCTCGTCTTGTCTTATCCAATTCCTTTTCAGTTTCCTTATCCAAGCCCAGCCCAGTCTTAATTAGGGAAATTGACTTTGATGGACTATTCCAATGCAATATCTGCAAACCCTTTTTGCCTAATCTTAGAGAAGTAAAGCACTCACTGACAACAATTACCGAACATTTTTCATGGTTTCGCTTGTGAGGCAGTGTGCATAATTTGCGTTTTCGCCGAGTTGAAGATTCCATACACAAGGAAGTCTGCGCACAATGTTGGCATTAAAGTAGATAGCTGTATTCACTATGTCCTGGAAAAAGTGTTTGCATGAATTTCAATTTATGGGGTAAAAAATAATTAATAAAAAACATTTAAAAAAGAATATAGCCAGCATCCAGAGGCTAGATTTTGAAAAATCTAAACGTACCAAATAAGTATTAACAGACATAATAAGCATACCTTTGGTAGAAATAATAATAAATATTTAACAAAAAAACGAAATTACTTTGAGATGAATATTTTCTATTAAAATAAATTTTTCATTATACCTGATCGGCGAGGGACGTGTGAGATGCATTTTTCAAGTATATTCGGGTAACGTTCCTCCAGTACTGGCTCCAATCTATTTTGCGCATCTTCTTCAAATCAAGCAGCATAACACCGGTGTTAAACCCATGACCCTACCAAAAGTTCACCAATATTAATACATACATGCATACATATATATACATATTTACAAATAGCATTGACTAGACTTACAAGAGTTGGCCAAAAGGATTTTCCATGTTGCATAAGGTACCATTCACTCTGATTTTCAACCAGACCTATCACCTGGCAATCAGGTTAGCAAAAAGCGTTCTTTAATGCAAAAAAATTGTTTTTTTTAAAAAAATATATCACATTATCCATTAAATAGCAAAAAGACACAGTTTAGTGCAATAGTCTACAGTCAGTGTTTTCAAAATTTATTCTCATCAAGTGGCGTTGTTGGCCAACCACAATTGGTGGGTATGGTCAATGACAGGTGCAGAGGGGTGCAAATGTCTCTTAAAGGGAAACCTAGAATGTCATCTCTCTTCCCAAGTAACTCGTAATTTCACACTTTTTACGCACTGTTTAGGAAGTTGTTTTCCGCCATGTGGATATCTAACTTGAGAATTGTAATAGGAAATGTTTCAAGGTTTTTAAAACTCAGTACGACTTTAAGTCTTCGCAACTTGATTTTGGGTAATATAATATGAATAAGTATTGTAATTGGGGTCCACATCCTGAATTAAACTACTTGATGATTGTTATATTAATAAATTGAATGGAAATTATGAATTCTAGATCAACCAGTCTCCGTGCGTTTGGGGGGGGGGATTATTTTTTGATTGACATGCAAGCTCTAGAATTAAAGCTAATTTCTTTTTAATTTATAAATGTAGAGAAGCAGAATTATTCAAATAGATGCTTTCAATTCAAAGTAGAAGTCCTACCTCATCATTTTCTAACTGTTCAGCAGTTTTCCAAAGGTCCATTAAATCCCCTTCAATCAGCGTGTCCAAATCTAATACAATGGCCTATATGCAAAAATAGGCAAACGCCAATTTATTCACATGAAGTTATTAGATAATTAAGAGGGCAAAAAATGGAAGAAAGCGAAGATCTTCCACAGAAAAAAACGCACCCTGTCAATGCTGAGAGGAAGTATTTCGGATATAGCTAGCTTTATCAGACCATATAGACCGGAATAATGCGTATTTGGTATCCAATTAACAAGATGCTGAAATTAAATTTTCCATTCGAAATAAAAGTAATAAAAATGAAAATAAATAAAGTCATTGACGTTATATAAATAACTTGTACTTTGTCTATGGTAGAACCCAAATTGACAAATGTAAAAAATCATGTAATAAAATTAAAGTAGTTTAAAGAATTTAAAATTGGGGAATTAATGAAGACTTAAAATTTTAACATCATAGAAGTTATTACTTACTAGAAGTAATTTAAAATTAAATGATTGTTTAACATACTGAGTATTTTAAGGACGGTATTGCAAACTTACCTCATACTCCACTATGTCGTAGAAGTGAACCTGTGTCAGACCAGCGATTTTCCAAGTATCAAATAGTACAGAAAGACCTTTGCAGGTCTTACCAGAGCAGACAATATGAAAGCGAAAATTGGGATGAGGTCGCTTGCAATTTTGGCTGAAAAGACGATGGTAGAATATACTCTTCACAAGAATTGGCACCTGTCGGGCTGCATTCTCTCCCCCTGCTACCAGAGCGACATCAATCAATGCCAGAGGAGCCTTGACTTCGGGACTAATGAAATGCTGTCTTTCATCCTGGAGAGAGAGAGAGAGTGAGAGGGGAACTGGAAAACTGTCAATTTAGAAAAGATTTCCATCCCTCCTCTCATATATCACGCAATTATAAATTAAGACGCTTCAACAATTAGAGTGACTGGGGATTTTTAGTGCATTTCTGTGTCTCTCCACTAAACATACGATGACAAGGCGCCTATAGTAGTAAGAAATGTAGGACAAACGCTTACTGAGGGAAGATATTTAAGAGACAATTGATTTATTCTAACCTCCCATAGAATTAATGTTAACTAAAGCTGCCGAACATGTCATTCACAGGATGACCATTAACGAACGCGAAAATCTTGACCCTTGACATCTGAGCGCATCGATTTTCATGATGCCTTATTAATGACTGAAATTTGTTCAAAATTTCTGGAAACATCTCAGGTTACTTGTACGATTCTCAAATTCTAGTTTCATTAAATTGATTAAGATTAAAATGGTTATATTTCCAAATGTAAATAATCCTTTAAATCATTCTCTATACGCAGTTCGTAGGAATTCATAAGTTCAAAATATTGTGCATTATTAATAACTTGCAGTCTAAGGTAAGAAAATGCTTGTATTGTTTGCCTTAACTTCAGATCTACTTTTCAAATCCCCAAAATAGTAGGATAATAATTACATGAATAGTGTCATCGTTGACAGGATTAATAATTATACACCATATTGGAGTAAGTTTCGATATGATAGGTAATTGAACTAAGGCACCACTTATAATTCAATCCAATATTGGAAAGAATTATTTTAATATATATATTTGTGACATTTTTGAACTCGATTATTTAGTTAGAGTTATTTAGAGTGATTATTTATTTCTGATAAATTTTAATTTCACGAGGTATTTTATCATTATTTGTTATTTTATCAAAATAGGACATACATGATTCACCTTCTTGCATCCCCCCCCCCCTTAAGTTAGAAATGCAAAATAAACAACAAAAAACCTAATTCTGTCTGAACGATATGGATTTAGAGTCTTAATGAAAGTACATTCATGACATTACCATTAATCTTTTTGTTTGAGTATGGTCTGGTGTACATGTATTTGCAATCAAATCGGCATGTAACCAAATGGCGATTGTAGTAGCACTCAGGAGTAAACAGAATGCGACCACAAAGAGGAGGATTAGCATTCGGTTCGTGTGTCTTGAGGACAAAATAAAACTCCTTTTAGTCACTTGAGGGTGAATTAACGGCTGAAATGATGCAGACCTTCGATATCGCGCTCCAGATGATTTTTTCAGCATCCTTCTCCAAAGAGTTGCTCGAATGAGACGGCAAAACCCCATGGGGAATTGATTTCTGAAATGGATGGTCTTTGTTCAATTATGAAAGGCATTTGTCATTTATGAATATGAACTGGATGAAAAAGGAGGATGCAAGAAGGTTGAAGATAGGACGTAGTTAATTTCTGTAAGAATACGTTGTCTTGACAACGAAACTATTTTTCATTGTTCCATTTTGCCAAGGCAGGTAAAATTTCTTCCTATTTTTCATTCAAAATGAGAATAAAAGAGAGCGTTCTTCCCTATTGTTTGAACCAACTCAGGTAGTTCAACGAGGATGAAAGTTTTCAAGCATCTATTGACTGGTCAATTCAAAGTGTGTTTAGCGGGGGCCTTAAGACTGAAGTAATTAATTAGGGTATTAAAAATTGATTACAAATGATGAATCACCTGATTGATTTGAACTCAAGTAGTCACTAAGTCATCGTGTGGTTAGGTGTAAATAAAAATTTTATTCAGCTGGAAGCTTGGTTAATATATATAATAGGGGAAGAGTGGTAAGAAATCGAGCATTTTTTTGAATGTGCAATGAGAGTTCCTTTGTATGGGGGCTAACTAGATGAGGTGCCCTAAATAATTGTACTTTCATAACCAGGAACAAGACAAAATTTCTCCAGTCTTTCACTTTAAGAAAACGGCTGAAATGTAGGTACGTACAAAGACTTTGAGGGTATAAAAGGGTATTACTTCACTAATTTTATGATAAGAAAGTACATTGATTATCTCTTGAGTATGTAATGCTCCACTTGGAGCATTGAACGACTTCTCACTCATGACATTCAGTGCTAATTGTGTAACTGTGTAACTATAATGATCGGTCTTGTCATTTGAATTCATGCTTTTCTCCAAAAGGTCGAACAGGTAAAATGGATCTAATCAAATAAAACGGATTTGGGTCGGCTAAATAATTTTAAAATATATTATAAATGACCGATTAATCGTGAATATTATCGGCGCGAATCTGAGGATCGCTATTAGCAGCCTATGCATTGAATTATCATCTTAAGCCAAAACGATGAATGCGAGTTTTCAGAAATTTAAATTAAAGGACAAATGCTTTAATTGTGACAACATGCATATACAACCGCATGATGTACTTGAACACAATATAATTAGGTAACCGTAAAAAATATATACATATATGTTTGTTAGTATGAAATAGAAGTTAACAAGCACACTTCCTCAAGATGATTGGTGGTAAACATGATTAACTTAAAGTAAAATATTTGTCACACTTACAATTGAGTAGCAACTGAGCAGAGCAGTTATCCCTGATTGAAAGCTTTCTTCTGACTTAGTCACTTTCTGAAAAACTTTTGTACATTGAAAGGACTGTATGTAAGACAGAGCCTCTTGCTGGTGAGTAGGGGTAGGTTAAAGGGGAGGAGGGAGTACAGAAAGGGAAAGTGGCACGCAGTCCCAGCCAATCAGGAGCTACCGCCTATGCTCACTTTCTTGAGCAAATGAAGGAAATTGAGGGGGGGGGAGGGGAGGTGAAGAGGAAGTGTATTAAAAAGGCTTCGGTAGAAATTTTAAAACTGTGATCTTTTGATTGAGTTGAGGTAGATGTGCGGAAGAATTGTTTGCCATTTTATGCCAAGGCTTAATGGCGATGATAAGAAAATGAAACATAATACGGAGGGAATAGGCTTTAGTAGAGTTGCCCTCTTTAGATGAGCTGATTGATGTGAAACAAGTAGATATGAAGCAAGCAATCACCTGTGTTAATGCAGAAAGTAACACAGAACTGAATTAATGCCACTCCATTTAAACAAATCGGCCTTAATTCACTTAAAGGCGTTTATTGAATAATTACAAACGAATTTGAAATATAAATTTGAGAGATGGAAAATTGCACAATTAACGCATATAAACAGTCAGTTATAAAACAATAATGTACTTTCACCTTTAACGATACCATCTGGATGATAAAATGGCAATTTTTCAAGCTATCTTTCAGCTTTATCATTAACTAGAAAGTAAAATCATTTGAATTCCTATAAAGTTATCTGGATGCAAACACGTTTTTCCAATAAATTATCCGGAACTGATTAAATTAGAAGTGGACTCCTTTCAGGAGGAGCATAAATTTCAAACTTTTGTTAGGAGCCTATTAAAATGCACAGAGCATATTTGATTCAAATATCTTAAAGTTCATAACTTTTTTTAGTAGCAACTAATTTTCCTTCCATAGTAAACATTTGATTTGTGGAGTTTTCGAGATTAAATTTTGAATAAAACCATGCAAATCATTTCTTGCAAGAGTGACTTTTTTCGTTTGGTTTAGCTGTTATTACCACTGATAGGACAGAAATTTATAAGTTTAACCATTGGAAAACAAATTAACTAAAATGATACTAAATTATTAGGGTTTCAACTAGAAGTTGAGTGCAAAGTCTGGTCAGCAGATGAGAATTGAATTTGATTTCTGGATTCATTATAAATTTATTTGTCACACTTCAAAGCAATCTGGGCTAAACATACAAATTTCAAATTCTGGGGCTTGATTACTTAAACATTGTATACATTCCGTCTTGAGAGTTTATTGAATTGGTAATTTGTAGTGTCATCACGTTAAATGTATCTCTTTTAAGATGTACCTCAAATTAATTTGGAAATTTAGTCTCAAGCCATCATATACGAGAAGCTATTTCAATTTAAAGTTGGAAAAATTTTCCATCAATAAAATTATACACTTCGTTACACTGTTCTGGCCTTCCACCCCAAACCCAGAATCTTGACCAATGAGATAACCTGTTAGCCATGATTTTTAGTTTTTACATATGAACAAAAGCTCCCGGATGTATTTACAAAGACACATTCCACCACTTTCTTGAATAGAGGATCTTTATATCCCTACGTTTTAATCTCGGACTTTGGTGAAAGTAAGTCTTTTTTTACTAATTTAAATTATCATGAAAAGATTGTTGTGTTGAGGCTTTCTCGAAATTATCTTGATTCCTGACAATTTCATGGGTCCATTTAGGATGATATTGGCCTATATAAATTGTTTTTGCTTGCATTTAAAATCGGTATTTATTTTTTAGTTATCTCGCTTTCAATAACTAAGGCAAAGTAAAAATTTGCGCTTTCCTTCACGAATGGGCAATTGGAGCATTGTCCGATAATAAGAGCATATAGTGTGCCTTTAACGCATCTATTTCTTTTGAAAGCATGAAATGTAATATTTACTAATTCATGTTTATTTATGGGGTAACTTCTCATCTAGAATGTGCAGTGCTTACTGACCGTCTGGATAAGTAGGAATCATTGCATATTTCCCCAAAAGCTCAAATATACAGTGGATGGTACTGAGAGACTTTATTTAACATATTCGCGCTATAACAAGGCTGAAAAGTGTTTTGAAAGTTGAGTAGTATATAAATATAACCAGCGTTAGTGAGCTCTGAACTTGTAAATATACGTCAGTCGATTAAATTTATTAACAAATATTTATACTTGTTACCGAGGCTGTTCAACTTTGATCTTAAAATAACACCCGTGTAGTTAGAAGGTTTATTTCACCTTACCCAGTTCCCTCTTTATGGCATCCGTTTGAAGAAGATATCCAAGATGCAAACATATCATAAAAAACTGAAGTTAGTATAATATTAATTCAAACAAAATATATAAGTAACCATAGCACAAGTAAGATTATTAAAGTAGGAAGGATTTCAATTTGCTTTCATTTCACTACTTCTGGTAGTTGAATCCAACAATTCATCT